TTTTCCTATGCATTACCCTCAAATTTTGTTTCGTTTTCGAGATATACTCAAAAAACCTTAAGGGTTGCATTTTCACCCCTATCTCCAATTTCCACCCTCTAATTTAATAGCACTCCGCGGTTTTTTCTTTCTGAATAACCGTTTGAACAATTCAAGCAATAAAAACCCATAAACGTTGTAGTTCCTTAGTACCTTGCTTTTTAAGACATAATAAATAGCCTATTAACTTAGTTATGTTTAATGTTTTGCGACATTTCCATATATTGCCCGATATTATTTGTAGCATTGTTCATTAAATTTTTAGTTTTATTGTGTATTTTTGCCACTCTAAAGATTAAAAAAAATCATAAATAAAGAGGTAAATAACGTTTCATGTTTTCTTAAATTATTGCTGAAATTATTTATTTGTGGTATAGTTTTCATTTCTTTTCTCTTTTTTTTTTGGGTCTTTTGCCATCTGTGAAAAAAATTAAAAAATTAGTGTACTAAACCCTCGTGCCAAAAGGTTCAGTCAAGGGTTATTTTTATGAAAACAGTTTTGCACAACCAAAAAATCTCATTAAATAAAACAGACAAAAAACACGTCATTTTGTATCGCGCCTTTAGAAAGTTGTTGACGTTTTGAAAATCTTTATTTTCGTCTTGATTTTTTACTTCTTTTTTAACGAGAATTAAAAAAACATTTTTTAAAAACGAAAACAATAGATTTTCGAAACGTCAACTTTCTGAAGTCCATGATACAAAGTGAAGTGTTTTTTGTACTATATTTCGTATTTGTCTGCTTTTTTTCAATGTGAAATTTTTTGATTTGGGAAAACTATTTTCATAAAAATAACCTTAGACTGATTCTTTTGGCGGTAGGGTTTATTTCACTAATTTTTAATTCTTTTCACAGGTGTCAAAATACCCAAAAAATAGAAAAATTTTCTTAAAAGATGAAAATAATACATTAATATATATAGGTAAAAGGTAATTTATAAAAATCAATCAAGAAAGTTTGTCTCATTTTTTAGTATATTTATTTACAATGAATATTTTTATTTGTTGCCACGTTTTGTTTTTATAGGTGGACGAGTGGCATTTTTTTAGTTCTTCACATTCCCCTTTCTTTGGTGGCTTTTTATGAAGTAAATGATGTCTGAAAAATATTTCGGCAAATCGTTTTTGTTCTTTTGTCCAGGGAATTAGCACTCGGCCCTTTTTTACCTGTTGAGAAAACGTTACATAAATAATAATATTAAACGAACTAACAATATTTATACACATGTAATTAACCTAATTATATTAAGGACAGAATATACACAGCACTTTTTAAAAAATAGAAACACATTAATTTCATTTTTAAGTATTGATTTGATAAAATATTTATGTGCCAAATATAGTAACTAAAATAAAATCTACAACAAACGATATACATACTAATCTACATTATTTTTTTTACAACCCGTATAATGTACTTCCGTTTCTAAGAAACCTTATATAAATATATTTATATACTCGTGCATGCATGTTTGTTACCTGTGGATTTGTAAGAGAAATAGTATTCTCATTATTTGCAAGGGTCGTAGTATATTCAGCATTTGCAAATGTAGAACGACTGGAGCTTTTTCTATTAATTGGAGGAAATTTATCGTCTGCAGGCTAAAAAACGAATAATTTTATTACGAATCACAAATTTTTAATTTTAAGTTACCTTTATGTTTTCAATTTCATTATCACAATCATCTGTTTCGTTTGACAATGCTTGATCCGTATCATCTTCTAGATCTGGAATTTCAAGATCGATATCTGTAGACTTTCCTCGGTATTCACCTATCGATTTCTTTTCCATGAGTAGTAACAGTTTAGACACCTTTGCTATTTGAAGTTTATCATCAGTTTTTCTATAGTAATTTAAATGCGTGGCTTTTTCATGTCCGAGATGTGTTGACAGTTGTTCCAGGTCATTATTTTCCATAGATATAATTTGTGCAATGGTTGCAATGTGTTTCCGTAAACATGTGGCTGTTATTGCTTCGGGATTAGAAACGTTGCAAGCAGAGGCAATTTTTTTTAAAATTTTATATGACCATAAAAAACTATCTTTGGTATTTGGGTTAGCGAAGAGGTAAGGATTTTTTGGTGCCACTAATTTCCTTGATTTTAAAAGTATTTCTGTGTGACCTTGCATGCCTTTCGTAAAAATTACCGGTACGGCTCTACCTTTCTTTCCACGAATAACAAATCGTTTTATATTTTTAACTAAAACCTTTTCAACTGTTGTTAGTGATTGATAAATATCTTGCATACCAGGTTGATCCGTTTTTCTCAAATAGTCTTCGATTGTAATTCGTTGTGCTTCACCGGAACATTTTCTATTCAAAAGTATAACATGGCCCAAGAGAGCTTCAGTTAAATTTCGAAGGTATAAAACATTATCTGGAGTGATTTCTAATTTTTTTGACCATTTCTCTTCCTCTAAAACAACAAATTCATTCATTTTTATCACATCCTCCGTTAGTGGTAACATGCTGCCCTTTTTCCAGCTCTTTGCAGATAAATCCTTATATGCATTTGTTGAAACATAAAACCGAAATTGGGTGTCTATCATTTGCCTCAGTGCAGTTATTTCTTTTTGTTTTACCTCATCACTCCCTTTAGTAGCAATAAATATGGCAGTATCACAGACCTGTTTAAGTACTGTTCCCCACCTTAGAGCAAGAGAAGGGCTTTTAAATGTGTCTTTGTATTCATTATAGCCCAAAATTTGATTAGCTGCGCTTACTAGTTGGTCAAAATAACAGGGTTTTAGAAAATCCATAAGACTCAATTTTGGTTCTTCATTTCGTAATATCTTAAGGAATCTGGCCAATTCTCGCATGCGTTGGGATACCGTGTTAATCAAATGTTTCTCTTTGTGACACCTAAAATATATTTGACCATAACATTTAATTAAGAAGTCGTTTATAACTATTTTGGTAATGTCATCAGATTTCATATGAGGAAATATTTTTAACTTTAAATCTTCAAAATCAGTGTTGCCAGATAAATAAAGAAGTGTTAATCCATTCGCTTGAGCATGTTTTGAATTTGCCTCTTGTCCCTTTTTGGGACACCTTTTTATGTGTTTATGAAGATATGTCCTTGTAAAAAAACCTTTACATTCAGAACAAGGCAAATAATCAGATGATTTTTTTTTAAGTATAGCCCGAGGTCTTCTTACTGGATTTATAACACCCTCTCTTCCAAATGCATTAATGAAGTTTCCTAAAATATAGAATCTACAGGTTTACAAATTGTATGATATTTTTTTCTCTATTTATTTGGGTACTTTCCCCACATATGAAAAACATTTTTAAAATATATTAAATCAATCATTACTTGAAAAGGATTAATATTATTTTTTACAGAAAATTTTTGCCAAAAATATCATACTGGAATACAGATAAATAAAAATAAAAAACACATCACTACTCTTTTTGTGCAAGGATCGATTTAATATTTAATATATTTTTAAAATGCTTTTTCTAAATTTTCCTCAGGAGGTAAATTACTCAAATAGAGAAAAACCAAAAAACTAAAATTGTGATTTACATAATTTTGGACAATATGTTATATGACATAAAAATACATATTTCTCTCATTTGATATTATTATTAAGTGCCATTATACAGTGCCATTAGTGATTGGTGCAGTAATAATTTATACAGATTATGGTAATTAAAAAACTAATACTTAAAAAAAACTAATGTAGATTTAAAAAAATATTTTGTATCCAATTTTTAAAATAATAATTAATATTATGAAAAACTTCAAACAATATATTCCTTGTTAAAATATAAGGGGAATTTTCTAATAAATATATTTCCAAAAACATCTGTGGGACTTACATCTCTTTAATAGTTTTATCTATGATCTTCAAAAAGTGTTGAACATTGCAATCCCTTATGGCTTCTGTTGTAACTTTCAAAAATTTGCAATTCAAAATGCCTTTTAAAAACATAGTTCACTTTTTTCTTTTTTTAATTTTAATTTTCTGAATTTTAACCTAGCTTTTAGAGATGTAACTCCCTTTGTAGACGTATTTGGAAATAAGTTTATACAGACACCTTCCCTTTTCGGCAAGGAATTACTCGACATTTTTCTCAATGTTAAAGAATCATCTTATATAATGTCTGGTTTAAAAATGTTTTACAGGGTGACCCAAATTTTAACCACGAGCAGTGTGTAGAGTAAATAAAAATACAATACAAATTTTTCAGATTTTACAATTAAATGCTGCAGTAAATCATTTATTTTCACATTTTTTCAGATTAATATGACTCGGTGACATGCAACCGCAATCATCAGACCTCTTTTTTTTAAATGTATCACCTACAATGACAGTAAAATTCATAAATGGTATTGAAATTGATTTCAGCAGTAGCTTAATTCATACAGTGTGGATAAAAGTAGTGACCAGACAGGTCGATTTTTAAATTCAATTTACCATCTTTTGAAATAATTAAATGATCAGTAATTTTTTCCAATGGCTATCGCAATTTTTTTTTTTTAAAGGAGTTACGGTAGCATATAACTATAAAATTTGAAAGCAATTGGTTTGTTTCTGAAATAGAGTTGAAAAAACATGTATTTTTAATAACTTTAATTGTATATTAAAAGTATAGTAAGATTTTTTAAAACAAGTTTTTATAGCAAAGTGGTTGTATTTTTACTTCCTCTACAGAGTCCTTAATATTCTTAATTAAAATCTGCGACGCCCTGTATGTATTTCTGTATAGGTATTTAATTTACATTACGTATGTATTGGAGTTAACTGACTGAATTAAACATACTTTGTAGAATATTCATTACTAGAACATTGTTCTTTTAATTTTTAACTATAATAATATAGTACACACCTTTCTTACGAATTTCATCTAGTAAAATTTTTCGTTCTTTAGAGCCCTTTTTAAGTGACATTATTTTGATCACTTCGAATTCATTCTTATGGATGCGAACTAAATGTCGTGCAAAATTAGTGACAGTCTTTTCGCAATATATACAATGCTCTCTTTTATCTCTCTTAAGATGTCCCTCTAAATTTTTACTTGAAGATTTTACATCTCCGCTTTCATTAAATGCATCTAGGTTTTTCAATATTTTGTTATCATTCTTTTTGGCATTAATCAATGCATTAGTACTGATTTGGTTTGAATCACTAAATAAACCTACAACATTGAAAACTAAAATAAATTTATAAACAAGTCAAATTTTCTATTTGTCAGGTTTTTACATAAAGAAAAAGGAATACATTTGAAATATTATAAATACAAACTTACCTAAATCTGTGTTACACGAAGAAACTGATGGTGGAATATAATCTGATCCTGAACTCTCAAGAAACTCACTTTCTAAACTATTTCGGTCATCGGTTGACTCAGCTTTGTTATTATTTAAGTAATTACCTCCATCTTGAAATGTCGGCCCTGGGAAAAAAATGCAGTTTCAGAATTATTTAAAAATTGTTGAACCCACATCAAAAACTGTAATTGTTACATACACATATATATAATACATTGTTTCAAATATGAAACAAAACATAGACATGGAGTGTGAATTACAGAAAAAATTTTCTATTTTCTAATTTTTGTTAAGTTTTTATGTAAAGAAAAGTTATTCAACGAAACACAATATTTGAAATATAATAAATATCAACTTACCTAAATCTGTGTTGCCCGAAGAAATTGATGGTGGAATATAATCTGATCCTGAACTCTCAAGAAACTCACTTTCTAAACTATTTCGGT